ACTAGTCTAGTATACTTTTTTAAAAGTTGTACTGTGTTGTTCTGATCTGAAGGCTAGTGCCTAGTGTTTATAAGACGGTATGATTAATTATAAACAAAGATGATGACATGAGCGATCCGTATCGTTTCTCACTATCACAAAGTACACAGGTGGACAAATGCATCCTTTCTCTTGGACCTCGGCCATTAGAAGAGGTGTAGATCTGAAAACTTCTACATACAGAGCTCTCTATAAACGTAGATCAAACACACAATGCGCATCCCGATCGAATTAGACATAAGAGAGTTCTAAGAGATGCGGTCTGCTTCCATTGTGGACTTCGTACGATAGCAACGAAAAGACTATATGAGCCGACATTTGTCTCATTCTATAATTCTTCACTCTGACTATCTACGAACAAATTCTCATTGAAATTCACTGAGTTCTTGTGGAACTAGACTCATTTTACTATAAAGATCGATGTATCGTAAAACTAATCAATCTCATTGTGAAATACAGCTGTTGTCAAAAAAACTCGGACATCTTGTTGTGCCAGTATTTTCCTATATATATGTCATTGTCAAACTCTTTCATATATTGGATGATAGCCTACGACGAGTACTATCGAACAGTATATTTCAAGATTTTATTCGTTCATCTTTAGAAGAAATAAGAGACAAACACCTGTTTTCCATGGACATCACATAATTTTTTTACAACATTAATTTCAACATTTTTGAATTCTTCAGCAAAAAAAAGTTCGAATTCATCAGTGTTTTTGGGTTTTCAGTTTTGTGTTTTACGATCGACCAAATTTTAGGTATACGTTTTAATTTATCATTTTGATGTTTTAAGCAACGACGAAAAATATTACGAAAAAGTTGTAAGTGTAAAATCATTATTTTTATGCTATTTAGCTCATTGTACACGTCGTTTTTTTTCTTCAGGTTTTAACATATGAGTGCTCCTTGGTAAAATATTCCTATAACCATATTCATGAAGATAACGACATATTGCTGATGTAGATATTGATGAAGGATACATTCTCATTAAATTTTCGTTTATTTTATCAAGAGTTATTTCATTGTTTCGTCGAATATATTGACCAATAGCTTTTTTTCTACTCCACTATGTACACGTGGTCGAGCATTTCCACCTCGATGTTTAAGTGAATTTGTTTGTTTCGATTTGTTAACACTGTAATAGATAGTACTTCGTGAAATATTTGTTTCACCATGAATAACACGAGCGGATCATATGCCATTGTTTCAATAATGTAATATTGAGATATGATGATTTTCTAAATCATTAGTTGGTGTCATGATTAAGTATATGTGTATCGAAAGAAAAGAAATCACACTTCTGTACGATGAACATATAGTATAGCTATCGATGATTCATCCCTAGAACTATTAGCTTTGTAATTGCTTTCAATGGTAAAGAAAAACGTTACAAAAAAATAAATAATTTTGTCCAAGCTTTTTTGACTACAGCTGACATCATTTAATGAAAGTTTGACAGATCGACCTCACACATATAGCAAATGTTTCTCCATAGACCTCAATGATCTCCTAAAATTTTTAGGAAATATCGTTGACTACAACGAAATGGTGCTATGATGAATATGGAAAAATTGTTACAGGTCTAGACACTTGTATATTCAAGTAAATGAGCTCGTCTTTCGTTCATATAACTAGCACATATAGAAGCATATTTCAACCAAAAAACCAGCTTCAAAAATCAAAGGGTATCGTACAAAACAGAACAAAATCTTGAGTAGTCAATATATTGCCATCATATTTTGGCATTATGTTAAAACTGAACAGCATGATGAATAAGGATAAGAGTGTCCATCTGTTTCACATACACTAATTCCAATACTCATCCTGAGGGATTATCCTCATAGAAACTGTCAAAAGACAGTTGTCTAGATGGAATAAATACAATTTGATACTCATACTAGCGATGCAACGGTGACTGCACCAGTTGATCGATGCCACCTGTGGACGGTGAACTGGTGAATCGGTGACATTGATGACGGATGGCTACTGCACTAGTGGTACGGCGAATCAATGGCACCATTTTATCAATCGATTTTTATTGTATTCCTATTTTTACGATATGTAGTACGTCCCGGTAACTTGCGCACTTAATCTTTCAGCCATAAGTAGTCTCTTGTACTAATGAAATTATTTTTGCAAATGCTCATCAGAAATTTTGAATACGGTGGAGAATTAAGTCAGTAGGAGTTTTGAAACCTATGGCGGAGATCAGTGTATTGGTACTGCCAAGTGCATTGAGCCTTATGTTGCCTGAGTAATAGTAGAAACCGGTCACCACTGTAGGTTTTCAACTGACAGTATTGGCCTTAACGGCTGTAGTCGCGCCATATTCTTCAGTAGACGACGGCATGAGAAAGATAACACTTCTTTCATACCTGACTACAGTGATTCGGCGATCAAAAGAGCAAGTCGAATCATGAAAATCTATGGTAACGACTAGTGTAACAGCATCAATGGCTGTTGTAGGCATGCAGACTTCTGAATAATGACCATTCTTAATCATCTCAGTAAGTTCTTCAGATTCTAACTGGCCATATTCGCCTTAATTCTGAGGATTGAAATCGTATTCTTGATTTGAGAGTGCAGTCTTATACAAGACATACTTTCTCACGTTAATGTAATGATCAGACTAACGGCATCTCAAGCGAGAAAATAAAAGCTTACGGTGACAGTTGCTAGGAAGTCATCACCGGTTACCCTGAGCCTCTTCTAATCCACAAAATGCTATGAATCGGCCATCACTGTAGGATTCTGACGTGCCAAATGGTATTATTGGACTTGAGGATATTAGTTGATATTGTATTCCTAAGTTATTTGCATTAGCATCTTTTATATTCAGATAGCTTTACGCTAGTAAATTTCAGTTATATGAACATACTGATGTCGGCTACGGTATGCCTATAGTCAGTAGTATATTCGTGAAGTGGTCATCCTATCGAAACAGCTTATGAAGTTTGTGAAATACGATCATATATCACAACAACTAGATAAATACCGACTGAATATGCTCTTCTCGATTATGAAATGATCAGCTTCACTTTTGATAGGGGTCAGGTCAACCTGAGTAACTTTAATTTTAGTAAGTTGTGATCGATGCCTATAGTGTACTGTCTACTGATGGACTGGTAAACGGAGCACTGACGGCACTGATAAATGACGAACAGATGACACCAGTGATCACCATCACTGCTGCATCCCTAGCTCATACAAAAACTCAACATTAAATTAACATGATTTGCTTTGAAAATGTTTGAAAGTAAATAGTGATTTCATTAATAACAAAATATGATGGCAATATATTAACCACCATTATTGTATTTTGTTTTGTATGATAGCTATTCATTTTTGAAGCTGTTTTTTTCATAGAAATAGATATCTATGTATGTTAGTTATGTGGTCAAGAGATGTGCTCATTTACTTGAATCTACAAGTGTCTAGATCTGTAACAGTTTCTTCATATTCACCATAATATCATTTCGCTGTAGTCAGCTACATTTGCCTAAAAATTTGAGGAGACTATTGAGGTCCATGGAGGAACATTTCCTACATGTGTGAAATCGGTCTGTCAAACTTTCATTAAACAATGCAGTTCACAATGAGATACGATAGTTTTACGATACATTGATCGTTGTAGTAAAATGGATCTCGCTTCACAACAGCTGAGTGAATTATAATAAGAGTCTTCGCATAGATAGTCAGGCTATAGGGCTACAAAATAAGACAAATGCCGATTCATAAAGTCTTCGTTGCTATTGTATGAAGTTCACAATGGAAGCAGACCGTAACTCTTAAAACTCTCTTATGTCTCATTCGATCGAGATGCGAATGGTGTGTATGATCTACATTCATCGAGAGTTATAATAGGCTTCCAAGCTAAATAGCACCAAATCTTAGTGCACTTCTCTTTTATTTTGAAATCTTCAAAAGCACTTCCTTTTATACCAAACGAGAATTTCGAGCTCTACAGAGCCGTATATGTCTCATAGTTGTACATCCTCTTAAAAAAAATGAAAAATGATAGAAAATGAACATATGCAAAATAATGCACTCCGATTGTACATACATTACATATTTTGGTCACATGTTTGACAATTTATCACAAAACATTTGAACTATCAATCAAATGAGTATTAAGAAACCACAAACCACAAAGTTGTGGCGGAAACATTTTTCTAAAACTTGATATGCATGAGACTTTTAACTGGCTCTTTATTAAGTTGGAATACGTCCTATATCAGAACACTTTGGAAAAACAGTTGAAATCTGGCATTTTACTTACATTAGCGGTTAATTTTCATAAAATCTTTATTTCAATTTAATAAAATGCTATTTAAAAGTTCCTGGCACGTCAACTTGTCGAAAAACGTTCGCACCACAACTCTGTGGTTTCTTAATAGTCATTTCATTGATAGCTCAAATGTTTTGCAAAGCACTCGCCAGTTGAAGCTCTTTCATCCCATATATGATTGTGCTGGATATCGTGTGAACAATCCAATGGACTAAGTTACGGGCTTATGTACTCCTGTCCTATAGTAAAGGTATCGTGCAAAGAATTCTTTGTTATCATTGACAGCAAGAAACGCACTTCTTGCCCGATGACTTCTGTTGCACAAAATATCATGAAAGTCTTCCTTGCAGCAAAGATCTATAGCAAGAAATGATAAAGAAATTTTTTCAAAGAACAAGTGATTTTTTGCAACAAGAAAATAAGATGTTGGATCTTTCTTGCTTATAAGACGTTGGAAATGTATTATTTCTAAGAAGTGCAATGACGGATCTCTTTTTGTGTGCATTTGTAGAAGAACTAGCATCGTTGTGCCTCTTTCCATATATCTTTTCGAAGAGACACATAAGGTGTCTTTTTCTGAATTGTCTATACATCTCAAAACTATCCGTTCATTTTTAGAGTGTTACTCGAAAAGAAACCCTAAAGCGACTACATAACCATTAGTGGGGAAAATGGCAGCAAAACAGATTGTCACAACATATGTTACTGAACCGCCAACTACTACCAAGACGGGAACATCAACAGAATCAACAGTAGGTTCTGTTCATAAAATTAATATGCCTGACGAACAAATAAGTCTTACGGCACCAGTGAGTGTTGTTTCAGCAACATCATTATCAAATCCCAAGGGTGGCGGCGCAAGAGGAGTATTTCAAAGTCCAAGGTATATCTCTCTTTTTACTGTTCATATCTTCTTTCATTCATTCTTTCACATCGATTTAAGCACATATGTTAGGAACCTTTGGACACAAATTTTGGCATCTTCGCCCATGGATAAATTATTTCTTCTAGTTTTCGTTATCGTATCAGTGATCGGTATTGTTTTGATCATTGCATTAAATGCTGCATTGCATCGTTCCATCGGAACAACGTTCACATGTAAGTATTGTTAAAAATAGTGGTCAGATTACAGAATTATCTAGTTATTTATGAAGTATTTCACTTCAGACAACAAATTATTTTCTGACTCTATCGAGAAAAACTGTGATTCACATCGCTTCCATAATAATCCAAAAATATACTCGTTTCACTAACGAGGAAATATATTTATGTGCGCCCGCACTCTGAAAAAGGGCTTTAAACCATTTTATCCCGTAGGAATTTTGATGTATATCATTAATATCAATGTCTTAGCTGCTTTCGCATAAGTTTGAAAAAAAACAGATAATTAAAATTTTTCATTTTTCATTTTCTATAGATATGATTCATATGTCATTCTCCAGGCAAGCAAAAAATAAGGAGAGATGCCCGACATGACTAGTCTCAAATGTCTGCACTATCTTCTAGCCTAGTCTGAAATGACTTGCAGCCCGTCAGAACTAGTTGTCTTGATGCACAAAGTCTTGCAACTTAATATAGACTAGTCTGAAACATGCTCTCACTCTGTCATGACTAGTCCGTTTCGTATGATCATACTGCCAAGACGTGTCAGCAGAACGACAAAGTCAAGAAGAAAAGAAGACGATAGGTGGATTCGAAAATTCGATCCGACACTATTGAATGCCTAACTAGTCTAGACTATTTTCAATGGAAATGCGGACTAATATGAAGAGTCATTTGTACTAGTCATGACTAATTGTTTTTAAGGAACTAGTGCCAGTTTTGATTCAGACTAGTCTAAACTCCCTAGATAGTCTCTTTTAGTTGCACTTAATCGTCCGAACAACTCATTTAGACTTGTTCATATCGAGACTAGAACGATGTATCCAACGAGAATTGCCTATTTATGTCCTTTAAATTTTTAGACTGAAATAACAATTAAAAATAATTTTATTAAAACAATGAATATTAGTATTTTTCTACGAGAATATTATTTTATCTTAATATAAAATCCGATGATTTGAAGATAAAAAGAGATTTAAATTTTAGAATTATAGTTTATTTTTAAATTTAAATCAGAAATATTTTAAATGAAGATAAACGTAAACTATGATATGAAAGGCAAGATTCTTTGAAAATATACATCATTTTTATTTTATTTTGAAATGTTAATTGTTTTTCAAATAGCAAATAATATTTTCCAAATATCGACGATCAAAAAATTTTCTTCTAAAGGAAACTTAAAAAATTCTCAATTAATTTTATTTAGTCTTATTTCACTAATTTGCGATTTTATAATAAACATTTTTTATTAATATTAAAACTTGACAAAGTGATAAGTCAAACTATATTAATTAGTGTCTTAGAATGTCTACTGACATGTTAAAATTGATCACTTGATCATATGGTCCAATCGGATAAACTATGGGTAAGTAATATGTGCTTTGTATGTTCGAATCCAACTTTATACACATACTTCTATCATTTAGACTAGTTCAGATTAGACCACTACATGGGACTAAATCCTGATAGATGTGGCATCACAGACGTTCTTCCTTTTCTAATTTAAAATGTATTTAGAACGGATGCTTGGACGGGTCCTAAACATTCCAAACAATTTCGGACTAGCCATGTAGAAGCCGGTATTGAGAAAAAGACTATACCGGACGTGCCGTCAGGACTAGATATCAGATTAGTCTTTTTACCCGTCCTTTGCTCGCCTGGATCTTCATTTTTGTAAAATTTGTAATATTACTGAATTTTTTCGTAAAATACTGTAAAGAATGAACAAGATACAATATAGAACATATTTTTCTGTTATAATTAAAAAATACTACCCTTATCCTGTCCATGTGGATATTTATCTGATTGATAACATGTTCTTTCGAACAGCACTCTGATACTGATCAAACCAGTATGGTCATATACGTTCGTTTCGTTCTGATTTCTTTACATATAATCATGATATTTTATCTCGTACTCTCTAGTGAATTCTTTTCTGTGTAATACATTCCAGTAAAGTCTTTCTCTTTTCAAGCTCTAGTACATATATAGCGTTTTACAACAATTAAACACTATATACATACGTGGCAAAGCAATACTTCTCTTTGACCATACACGAGCAAGTCGACGACCACTTCACAACATTGTAGAACATCAAAAAAAAATAACCATGTTCAACGTAGCTAACGTAGTACGCTTGTCTAATGAGTTTGTGAAGGAAAAGTATCCGAATAGTAAAGAAAATAAAACATCTCCTCAAGATCATGCAGCCGCTGATCAACTCATTTCGGTATTGCAGTTGCTGGCAACTTCGTCCGAAATGATTCATGGCGACATTGAGTTTGAAATTCACGAGTATGTCGGCGCTAATGAGTCTTATATAATTGAGCCAGATGGCACCGAAGAAACCTGCGTAGTTGGTAATCGATCTTTCTCGTATCAAAATACGTGTGAAATTGTGCAACTTGCGAATGCTGTTCAATAGAAGCTTTACGAATTCACCTAAGGAAAACCAATTTCATAAAAATCATGGATTTTTATCAAGTTTGACCAAAAGTAATCCATGTTAAATAATCCAAATCTGCAATCAGTTTCTGAAAATTTTGAGTTTGCTTTTTTTCTCAAGGAAAAAGATATTATCAAAAAATGACGATATTTTATATAGTGTGAACAAAGGTAAATGGAGTCGAGGAATCCGAATCTGTAGTCGACTTCTCGAAACTTTTTGAGTTCGATGTATTTAGTAGAAAAAAAGTTTTTTTTCAAAAAGATTTGTTTTGTTAAAAGTAAGTGACTATGTATACTCCAGTGTACATAGCCATGTCGCTACGTGCACTCAGAATAGCATAATGAAATCATTACATATTATGGACGGTTTCATTTTCATGCGAAGGGAAAGAAAAGAGTAGCGAAGAGTGAGGCTCTCTTTCTCTCCCATACCCTCTCTCCCTCATGCATCTCTGCTCACGTCTATCTCTCCACTAATATATCTCTCTCCTTCACGTTTTTCTCTCCCTGACCTCTCTATGAGAGACGTGGGAGGGAAAAATATGGAAGAAAATGAGAGACATGAGGGGAAGAGATCCTCACTCCTCGCTTCTCTTTTCTCTCCTCTCGCACGAAAATGAAACCGTCTATTATATGTAACGCTTTAACTATGCTATTCTGAGTGTACATAGCCACTTCCTTATCAAAGACTCATTTTTGTCAGTCAGTGCGTCTTTTCAATAAAAACAAAAGCTCAGAATTTCGAGAAATAATTTATAGTTTCAGATTCCTTGATTCCGATTACCTTTGGTCAGACTTTATACGATATCTTTATTTGTACAAAACTACTTTGCGCTCGATGAACTCGAAAAGTTTCCGTTAGTAGTTATCCAGCAACATAACTAACTAGTAGCTATAACTTCCCTTGCGTGTTGGAGGCAGGAAAAGTGGCTCCATTTACACTACCGCTAATGGACGTGGGTTTCACATTCCTAGTTTCTAGAAACGGGAATGTCAGACACTCTCATGTAAAAAGAACAGCAAACATGTTTAAAAACGTCGCTTCACTGGAACAATTTTATGAAACCCAGTATGAGACGTGTTCCCATCGCTCGGGAGAGAAACACCCAAGAATAGTAACGTGGGAACAACTAATTTTCATGTAAATAGATAAGGAAGCATTTATAAAAACTATTTGTATATTCAAAGAGTCCTAGAAAATGTGGCATGCGATGCATTCTCTGTTCATGGAAATTGGGTTGACAATGGAGGTCCATGTTTATCGCGATTGTGAATTTCGAATTTAAGGTGTCGAAAATAATTAATTCGAGGGGATTTTATTCTTTTTTCTATCTATATATAATTTGTTAGAGTTTGAAAAGCTGTTCATGAAAACATAATTGTTCAGTTTTGATTGAATAACTGTTTAGCTACAATAGCATTTAGGCTTCCCCTAAGAATGTCCCTCAATCATTTAGTTCCCAGGAATAGAAACAGAGAATATGGCTTGAGTTTCTACTCCTTGAAGCGAGAAATGCCACATGTATTACACCCTTTGAAAACTGAGGAATCTAGTTAGATTCATCGGTTACTAAATTAAAAAATATAAGAAAATACTCTCTTTCTAAGGAGCACTTCTGGTACTAACAGATGTTTTTTAATCCGGGCCAGTATGCAAAATGATTCTCTCAACTTTGAGCGAAACATTTTCGAGTTTACTGAACGGATGGTCGCCTCTAAAAGTTACGAGCTTTTATAAAATTTAGTCAATGGTGATCCGGGTTGAGGAATCCAAATCTATAATTGGTCCATCAACATTTTCAGTTTCAGTTTCTCGTTAAGGTAAGGGTATTTTTGAGAAATAACCATTCTTCATAAAGTTTAACCCAAATCAATTGGAGTTGAGGAATCCGAATCAATAATCAGTTTCTGAAAATTTTGAATTTGATAGTCTACTTTAGAAAAGAGTGTTTTTGAGAAATAACAGCTTTTTTCCGAAATTTGATCAAAGATTATCAAGATCGAGGAATCTGAATCTATAACTGTTTCTCGAGGTTTTCAGTTCCATTTTTTCTACAGAAAAACATTTTTAGCAGAAAATGATCTTTTTTCCGTAAAAACTTCTTTTTCTTAAAAAACTTAATTTTTATACCAAAAAAAAACATATTTTTGTGTACTCAAAAAGTAAGTACACTCTAGAATCTGTCAGTGAGTCCGGTCAGCCATTTACACGATAAATTTTGAAAGGGGAGTCCGATTGTGATGAAATTTTCTACACAATTCAGTCTCAGCAATATCTCGGTCGAATTTCAAGATGAGAATGATTGACCGAGCTGTTCCTATGCTATCGCACAAATATTCATTATTTCCTATGCCTTCCTGTGAGAAAATCGATCTATCCCCGCTTTCGTAAAAATACTTTTCCTACCATTGCCAAATATAACCCAAAATATTATATACCATTCGATAGAGAATTTCACGCGCTACAAAATGGTATATAAAACATAAAGAAACAAGAAGGCTAACCCACCTATTGCAAAGATAATTAGACGGAAATTGGTTTTGTTTTTGTCCACGCTCTAATTGATCCGCAATTAGAGTTGTATCTTGCAATCATAGAGATGATACTTGGAGGTTTTCAGGGATGGAGAACTCGAATCTGTACTCCACTTGCCTCGAAACACCATTGGTTGAGCAGTAACCGATAGAAATCAAGTGTTTATAGAAAAGATTTGCCAGGAGATTGTTTATGTCCACACATTCTAGGTGACTCATCTGTTTCATTCACGTTTTGAAGTATACCTAACTCTCAGATTTAAATTCGAGGTTTCCACATTTATTGAAAAATGAAACTCAGAAAATTGATAAAACTCTAGTCAAAAAAACCTGAAATATATAATTCTATGCAGTTTCATCTCCGTTTTCTGACGGTGTAAACCGCATATTTCTATCATGTTTCTATTAAATATTATCCAAAAGCTATTTACGCATCTTTTTTTTTGAAATGAGTAATGGTTCTCTAAAAACAACTGAAGTAGTTATATTTTTAATAATGGTACTTAACGAATATTGAAAACAGATTGCGCCATTGAAAAATATAGCTCTATTCACTCCCAAAAATGCGACTCGTGCAGTATTTAAATCCACTTATTCTGGTTTTGGAGATATTCTAATATGTTTTTACAGAAATATCAGAAATGCATAAGAGTTAGATAGTAATCTTCTTTAAGTTTCTCGCCGTGTTTGTATTTGTTCAGATAAGATTTTTCTGAAGAGAAAATTTTGTTCAACACTAAAAATCTATTTAGGACTAGGTACGCAAGCGAGGGGGAGAAAGAAGAGGATAAAAAGCAACAGAGTGATTACTAGACAGGATGGAAAGTTGTACTGTATGAATCGAAACAACATGGTTGATGAAATAATATAACGACTTTAGCTTACAAGTATAAAAGATTTAAACAAAGCTTTAAAATGTTCAAGAACTTTGGAAATAGAGAAAGAATTTATGCACATACAATCTAATTCTGCCACTGCTCCTCCTTTACTATGTGAGCTGACTTCTTTCTTGTATAAAATCCTTTGTCAGAATCGTTTGATGAGATTTGACTTCCAGTCAAAAAAACAGTCTTCTAACGATTAGCGATCCACGTTACATAATTTAGTACAAAAATTTGACTCGAATTTTAATATAAGCAGGAACAGTTGAAAATTTTTGTTGTGAAAAAATATTCTCGCTAAATTCTTCGAGTAACAGTAATTATCTTTGTGACCGTATTAAGAATGATGTGGACGTTCTAAATGCCAATGATCAGGTGTACTGCAACTCGCTATTCTCCAACAATCACATTCTTACGAAAACGACTGCTGCGCATTCGAGCTAGGGGTGTGAATTTATTGTTATTGTTATTAATAACAATAACATTTTTTTCCGAAAAACCTCTAACTACGAGCGGGGAAGTTACCTTTACGTTCCACGCTGACCCGTAGCCTTGGGTCCTCAAGTCCTACTATTCGGGGGTACCTTTAGGTCCTCAAGTTCTACTATTGGGGGTATCCTTAGGTCCTCAAGTCCTACTATTGGGGGCACCCTTGGGTCCTCAATTCCTACTATTGGGGAACCCTTGCGTCCTCAACTCCTACTATTGGGAAGTACCCTTAGGTCCTCAAGTTCTACTATTGGGGGTACCCTTAGGTCCTCATGTTCTATTATTGGGAGGTACCCTTGAATCTTCAGGTGCTTTCACAAGGACATCTTTGAGTTCTGTGGTCCTATTGTTTTGGGCACTAGATGTCCGACATTACCGTAACTGTTACTAGGTTGTTAGTGACGGCGTATTTATTCGTTGACGATTAACAGTAAGACCGGTATTATTTTGTTACTTGATAAATATAAACCTCTCCCCCCCCCCCACACAATAGAAGCTCAGGGGGTGTGTCTTTGTTCCACAAGCTATAACTTGGTAACAAAGCTTGTCCTGATGCCTGTTTTTTCGTTATTTAGTAGAGAAATGTTCATTCTTTCATTTTCCATCGATTTGAATTAATTTTTTATAAAGTAAACCTCGATTTTCAATGAAGAATTCTAACCGAAGGGGTGGGCTTCTATTGTGTGGGGGTTTACTGCTTGTTTCAGTGCTATTCCCGTAACCGATGGGCTACGTGTGAACCTGGCACGGCTATAATAGTGAATAATGCCAGGGCGGCCGGAGTGGGCATCGGTAGTGATAAGGAGCAATTCATCGGATTACAGGAAGATCTCCACTGGCTATCGTATAAAGTTTCGGCAGTCTTTAATCCTGTTGCATTCTGCGTTCCCAATTCTTTTTAAGCGCTATGTTATAGAAGAACCCAGATTAAGGAAGGTACTATCCGATGAAGTAGCCGCAACTTTTTCAGGACTTTCGGATTAAGAGCATTGCTATTGGATAGATTTTCTTTGCACTAGCAACTGTGCATGAGAACTCGTTGTCAGGTTAGTCTGTAGGTGGTTACGAGTAAGCACAGTTCTACATCTTCATTTTTCATGGTTGGGACAGGTGTACTCAGAAACTAACTGTCAGACAACGCGGTTCTCTTAATTACGATTACAATAGCTTATCTGATCTGCTTCGGTCATACAGCTGATTGCTTAACGTGAGCCTGGCTATCACTGCACCAGCCGGATGGTTCTGTGGGTATTAAAGTAAAAAAGCTAGCAGCCACACCCACACCCACCGGCAACATCTACATCCACACCCACATACCCACTGTCATATCTCCGTACCCACACCTACACCCATTATTCACCCTACTTCCTATATTGGGCGTTCAGGTTCTAACGCTACCTCTTTCTAGTAGTATTTGAGAACCCAAGGGTACCCTCAATCGTAGGACTTCAGAACCAATGGGCATTCCCAATAGTTGGACATGAGGATCCAAGGGTCTCGCAACAGTAGGACTTGAGAACCTAAGGGTATCTTCCAATAGTAGGACTTCAGGACGGAACGATGCCCCCAATACGACGACTTGAGGATCCAAGGGTACCCCACGATAGTAGGACTTCAGAACCTGAGGGTACCGCTCAATAGTAGGCCTTGATGACCCAAGGATACCGCCGAATAATAGGACTTGAGGATTCAAGGGTACCCCCAATTGTAGGACTTGAGGATCCAAGGGTGCCCCCATTGTAGGATTTGAGGACCTGAGGATACCCTCGAATAATAGGACTTGAGGACCTGAGGGTACCTGCCAATAGTAGGACTTGGTGATCCGAGGGTACCTCCAATAGTAAGACTTGAGGACCTAACGGTGCCCCAGAATAGTAGGACTTGAGAACCTAAGGGTACCCTCAATAGTAGAACTTGAGGACCTAAAGGTACCCCCGAATAATAGGACTTGAGGACCCAAGGGCACCCCCAATAGTAGGAGTTGAGGACCTAAGGCTTAGGGGTTAGCTGGGAACGTAAAAGTAACTTCCCACTCGTAGTTAGAGATTTTTCAGAAAAAAAAAGTTATTTGTTATTTTTTTGTTATTAATAACAAATAACAAAAAAAGTTATTGTTATTAATAACAATAACACAAAAAAAGTTATTGTTATTAATAACAAATAACAAAAAAGTTATTGTTATTGATAACAATAACTTTTTTGTTATTGTTATTGTTATTAATAACAACCGAATAACAATAACTTCTCACCCCTAATTCGAGCTACTCGCGTGGCAGAGTCGTACCGCAATTTCAGCTTGGCAAACATCTTGGATACAGTATTTTTCATTATTTGAAATTTACAAGAGGAATATGTGTATGATTGCGCAGCTTCCGTTAGAAGGAAGAAATTCATCTTATATAAGTACGTCAATTAATATAAACAACTTTTGATATCTCGAAGTGCAGCAGAGGAAGAAGAGGTAAAACTATATATGTAACTTTTCGTTCGAATCATAATACTTTTACTTTGGCAGCGACAATTATTAGGGAACACATAAAAAATTTTTATTACATAGCCGAACTTTATTTAATCAAAAAACTTCGCTGTTTAAACTTTCCGAGTGGTAATCTCATTATAAATTAACTTCGTTTCATTTGTTTTACAGGCAATCTAACATATACTTGGAATACCACTGGAACAATATTTGTCCCTGATACATTACTTGAGTCACCTCAAGGGATCTTCATAAAGAATAATATTGCCTATATATCGGATGCTGCTGATACGCCTATTATCTATTCAATAACAACCACTGGAACAACATTGACAGCAACTATAACAAGCGCCGGACTGTCGAGTCCTCAAATTGTCTATGTAGATCAATCAAATAACATGTTTGTACCAGATTATGATCACGCATGTGTATTTAAGTTCACAACTTTCGGTAATGTACCTACAACGCCAGTCGTAGCTGGTTTAATTGATACTCCAGGTAGTAATCTTAGTCAACTAGATGGTCCAACTCAATTAGCTTTTGATTCAACAGAAACATATATGTTTATTGCGGATTCAAATAATAATCGAATTATAAGGTTTTTAACAACTGCAACGACTGGCGATACAGGAGTTGTTGTTGCAGTAAGTTGTCAAATATAGAGAGTGCTTTATTTTTCATTTTAAGTTCCTTAAGGTTTAAAAAAAATCTAGCTTTCTAATTAATCATTGTTTTGATTGTTTCTTCTTCGCGGCGAGGTTTATGAATCATAATAGTAAGTATATAGTCTGCGAAATCATATTGTTGAGTTGAAATGACTAGTTTAATGGAGGCCAAGTATGCGACCGAGCACATATTGCTACGGCCTAAGTCAAGTATAATTTTTATAGCAGATTTAGAACCTAGACTTTTAATTCTGAAACTAAAGCACAGCAGTCTTTCAGAGAATGAAAACACAAATGCAATTGCAAGGTTGATTAATATCTCAGATTGATTGAATGTGTGAGTAATACTACTTTCGTTTTACGGTATAATCTGATGAGAAAAAGAGCGGATCGCTTCAGGTTTTCAATGAACTAGCAGATCTCTTTCGTCAGAAAGCATCTACCAAAGTATACTATCGTTTTCGATGAAACAGCTTGTCAGCATATACTTGTATGAGACTGAATGCGAAACTCCTACCATAAATATAACTCTGTTCACAAGTACTGATCTGCAACTCATGTTACACTTTGTTGGTTAAAAGAAAAATGTGTAGGCTTTCATCTAATGTGAGCGATCATTTGTACATCTTTAAGAAGATGTTTATCTCATCTACACTCGAGCACTATAAACTGTACCATTGTATTAATGTCTCTACTCGCCTCAACCTACACCATTTCGTTCCATGAAGACCGGAAATTGCGATATCAGTCTATACTTGTCTTAAACTCAAACTACTTCTGTGATATTCCTTATAACAATTTCCATATTCAAATTCTGTCGCAAAATAAGTGAGTTGTAGCTGCTCGATCCTGCTAATTTCAAATAATTCAAATCTTTCGGATTGTGGATTCTGAGAAAAGTGATTCTGCAAGCTACTAACAGCTTCTCATGTAACTAGCCTTTAGTATGATTGTTGTGCACGGCATGTTAAAGATCTAATTGTTTTGATGCGGCACATGAGCAAATCTATCTCTCATTCCATAGGACTAATCAATAACAGTATTACTAAAGAATTTCACTTTTTCAACTAAAGTTTTGTCGAAACGTGTACAAAAATTTTTCAGTATAATCTCTTCGAGATTAAAATGTGAAACAAGATGAAGCCATTTAATCTGAACACGAGATATATTGAACCTTAAGATTCGACATGATCGAAACAGAATAACAACTCAGCGCGTGCCTGAGGTTATAGGAAATTGTCTGATTCTTCAGTTTTATCGATGTCAAGCTGAACATTAAGAGAGAGTCCATGAAGGGACCGAGGAATCGAGGCACTGGAAAAATTATTAATTTTTGATTTGATTTCTTCATCTTAATCAGCATCTTCTAAAATCCCTAAATCCAAATTTTTAGCGCATTTGGATGAGCTGGTGAAAAGTTAGCCCGATGCACCTTTTCGAACCCTCAGGTAGTTATATGAAAAATTTCAACAAAAATCATCTTTATAAAGTTGAGTATTTTAATATAACAAAAAATTAATAAAATGTTTATTATAATATACCAAAAGATAGAGTTTTGAATGCTAAACAAAATGAGCTATTTACATATAATGTTTCAATAGACTCATCCAAAGTTATATGTCAAATACTTCCCGTGACTGCTCATTTTTCTTCAGTTAAAATGTGCCAATTCCTTTCAGTATATCAGCTGCCATTCAACCATTTTAAAGCAATCAAAGCTGAATGTTTTATATGTTATGCAGCTTTCAATTCTCTACAAAATGGTAAAAAAATATTCCAAAAAAGAGTTGGCCTTTGAGGCGAAGTGAGGCTCACATCTCTCTAATAAATGGTGATTTTTGATGGTTTTTCAATAGAAAATGAACATTTTGAGCGTTTTTCATTATCATGACACGCTTTTAAAGCAAAACAAATGTCATATTTGGAATCAGTGTCGAAAACTACATCGAGTCAAATACATTTTAGACAATTTTTTTTCTATGAAAAAATCACCCCTGGGGGATCATGGGGTAAAATTTTTAAAAAACACGGCTGTAGGGGACCACAGGTGAATTTTTGATGGAAAAAAGTGTTTTCAAATTATATGTGATTTGATGTAGTTTTCGACGCTGATTCCGAATATGACATTTGTTTTGCTTTAAAAGCGTGTGTCATGATAATGAAAAACGCTCAAAATGTTCATTTTCTATTGAAAAACCATCAAAAATCACCATTTATTAGAGAGATGTGAGCCTCACTTCGCCTCAAAGGCCAACTCTTTTTTGGAATATTTTTTTACCATTTTGTAGAGAATTGAAAGCTGCATAACATATAAAACATTCAGCTTTGATTGCTTTAAAATGGTTGAATGGCAGCTGATATACTGAAAGGAATTGGCACATTTTAACTGAAGAAAAATGAGCAGTCACGGGAAGTATTTGACATATAACTTTGGATGAGTCTATTGAAACATTATATGTAAATAGCTCATTTTGTTTAGCATTCAAAACTCTATCTTTTGGTATATTATAATAAACATTTTATTAATTTTTTGTTATATTAAAATACTCAACTTTATAAAGATGATTTTTGTTGAAATTTTTCATATAACTACCTGAGGGTTCGAAAAGGTGCATCGGGCTAACTTTTCACCAGCTCATCCAAATGCGCTAAAAATTTGGATTTAGGGATTTTAGAAGATGCTGATTAAGATGAAGAAATCAAATCAAAAATTAATAATTTTTCCAGTGCCTCGATTCCTCGGTCCCTTCATGGACTCTCTCTTAAGCAGCAACACTATCTGATTAGTTGCTAAAATCGATTCTTGTAAGAAGATTTCTCGATTTGATATTCTATTTTCAAGCAGAGTATTTCAGAACGAATTTTCAAAACAGCAGATGGGAAAATCATCAATTAAGAGAGTGAAAAGATAGATAACAGAAGAATAAAAACAGAAATCGTGATCGAGATATGTTCACTGGTCCTGTGTCTGTCATGATAGGAAACTTAGTTTTTCTATCTCATACTTCAACATGTCTTTTCAATCGTGTTTTAAAAAAGAGAACTAAGATTTTAAAAGAAATGAGAAGAGTAACTAAATTATCAATCATTTTATTGATTTTTCTCGATGAAATTATGATGTTTCGTCCTTATTCTAGGTATATCTTCAAACACAAAGAAGTGAATGTGAGAAAATCCATAGAGAACGTGATGATTAACAATAATTCTGTCGAAAAAAAGATCTTTTTTGTTCTGTTGAAACATTTCAATGCAGATGGTCCATTTTCTCCTTCTTGCATTGAAGTACTTCAACAAAGCGAAAAATATGTTTATTTTCGACAGAATTATTGTTGGTCATCACGTTCTCTATGGATCTGCTCATTTTTTTACTCATTTGTGTCTAAAGATGTACTTAGCATAAGGACGAAACGTCACAATTTCATCAAGAAAAATCAATAAAATGATTGACAATTTAGTTACTTTTCTTATCATGAGCAAAATTAGACTTAGACAGATTTCATTGTAGTTAGGCGCAAAACAGCGAATTTTTTTTAATAATTGTTATTCTCAATATCAATAGAAAGAGAAAGATTCCCAACTATTCATCTAGATGAACGTTAAGTAAAACTGTAGAACATTCAATCACACATGTTTAATCGCATCATAAGTACAACAATGACTTCTTTTTCAACATTAGAAATTGAACCACGAAAACAATTTTATGAATAAGGAATTGAACATCTTAAATCTTTAAGTACCAGAATTTGGGAAAAAACAACGATCATGCAAGTCATGAATAAAAATATTCTTTATCGTATAAATAAGTGTCAAGAGACTTCGATTCACTTTTTACGTCTTACAATAGAAGGTCTCTAACTGTGTCGCGCGGATTTTAATTAAATTTATCTGGACCTGTCCAGTCAACGGTACCTATCTCAGGTATGAAATAATTAGCGGCTACGGGTGCTTCGGTAAAAATATATAGTCGAAACACTTTCGAAGAAAACTGACATATATACTTCGCTATATAGTTTTATCTTAAAGATGTTCTCCTTTCTCAGTCATGATGGGAAAAGGCGAGTTGCGTACCATTTTATAGAGTAGGTGTAGCTCTACAAAATAGTTTAGCTTGTTTATTTTGCTGCAAATGAAAGAAAAGAAAAGAGCATGCAACCATTCGAGGTATACTCAGAATTATATTTCTATGTTTTCTCTAAACAACAAATGCCCCATAATGACTAGTCACATTGTATAATTTATTTTCCTAACAGCTAGTACGTTTAATTAAAAAGAAAATATTCTGAAAGATGCAGCAAGTAAAGCTCTATAATTTACATAAGACTGCCTTTTTTCGTAGTCTCATTTGTTGTTTTCAAAATGGACGGAACAATAAGCCATTAAATTTAGCGAAAATAGAGCCATACTTTTGGCTATGCCTCAAATAGCCGCATGCTCTTTTCTTTTCTTTCATTTGCAACAAAATAAACAAACTAAGCTATTTTTTAGAGCTACGCATACTCTATAAAGTCTTACGCAACTCACCTTTTTCCATCATGACTGAGAAAGAAGAACATCCTTAAGGTAAAACTGTATAGCGAAGTATACGTGTCTGTTTTCTTGGGAAATGTTTCGGCTATTAATTTCTACCGAGGCAGTCGTAGCCGCCATTGGTTTTACATCTGAGGTAAGTACATTTGACTAGACAAATCCACATAAATTTCATTAAAATCCGTGCAACACACTTAGGAACCTTCCCATGTAAGACAGAGATGGCTCGGTCGCAGACCGTTTATTTCTTGACAAAAGCATTGGAGGAAAGGCTTTCTATAATTTGTTTTGAAAGAGCCAATCTCCATGATTATAGAAATGAAAATTTCTTTGGATCGAATGTCTCTGATTGACAAGTAGAGAATAAAGGCTATAAAAGTCAGGTTTAAACTGCACATGATATGAGTATGTGTTGTTAATGGAATGAAATTTATTTCGTTTATTTAGAGTGGTACGGACTATGGAATTAATGAACCTTATAATCTATATTATGATTCATCATCCGACTATTTATATATCGCAAATGCACAATCAGGTATAGTCATAAGATGGAAACCATTCGCTTTAAGTGGTACCGTAGTTGCTGGTAAGATATCGTATCCTAGATATTGTTTTTAAAGTCATTTTCTCTCCTAACTATTTCTTCCTATCTCAGGTGTTGCAGGTTCAAGTGGATCATCCTCAAGTCTACTCTATGGACCGGGTGGTGTTTATTATGATGCAGCAACACAACTATTGTATGTTGCGGATGTAGGGAATGGACGTATTATGGCATATTGTAATAATGATGCATCGGGAATAATGATTGTCGGAACTGGTATACCGGGAAATGGACTAACGCAACTCGGAGCTCCCTACACGATGGCGTTTGATTCAAGTTGGAATCTATACGTTTTGGATTCTAGTAACAGTCGTGTACAACAATTCATTAGACTATAAACAGCAATGAGAAAAACGTATAATCTGTTTTTTTCTGACACTTGAAACGAAGGACGTAGTTGCTCTTGTAGTTGGCACTTTAGAGAGTGATTTTAGTTCACCTTTATACATATTGTTTGTTTTCGTCGAAAGAGTTTTTTTGCGACCAGGTCAGTCTGGTAAAGATCTGCGGAAACAACTTTTATTGGTTTCCCTCTCCCGTTTCCGCAAAAAACCCTTTTTTCTTTTTCCCGTTCCCATAAGACTTACAGAATTTCTTTGACAAGCTCATTTTCAATTTTTTAAAAATAGACTATTATTATTTGATATTAGCTTCTAGCGAGATCACATCGTTCACAGATGTAACATTGCGTAAATGAAAAATAGATTTATAATTGGAACTTAACCAAACAAAGAATACAACGATGGTTTGTAATTGAACCGTGTCGTTTTGGTGTACTTCCTAGATATTAATTTCTTGAATTTGCTCTACATTCATGTTTGTGAATACTGTCTATAATAAGTAATTTGGTGGATCTTGTTTCAGCTTGTTTTTAGCGAATTTATTCTCTATTTATTGGGCTAATACCATATATATTTACTCACATCAGTGAGTCTTGCCTACATTTATGTTTGGTGAATTGTACTGATAGACATTTTTGTGAATATTATCTATGTAACTTTAGTAAATCTTGCATATATTGACTTTGTTCAATATTGTCTTTATGAATTTCTTGAAGCTTAACGAGACTTATTCTTAATGAGTTTTCTCTTTCGTCCATTGATCAATTTCCTTTTTGTGTAATTACTCAAAAAGGAAGTACACTGTAGCATTAGTCAGGGTGTCCGCTCGACCACTCATACACACGATAACCCTTAGAAATTAAAACCGATTGTGATGAGATATTGTATATAGAATTATCTTATCTATATCTTGATCGAATTCGAAGATGAGAATGATTGGTCGAGTGCTTCGTGAGTTATAGCAAAATATCTGATTATTTCCTGTGCTTTTCTATGAGAACGTCGATTTATTCCGGCCCTCGCTAAGGAAATTTTCTCTTATGATCGAGAAGAAACCTCAAGTATTATATACCACTCGATAGAGAATTGCACGGGCTGCACAATGATATATAAAACATAAAGAAACAAGCAGGCTAAGTCACCTATTACAATGATACTTCAGCTGAAACGGATGAAATAGTAATTTCACTAATTCTTATCATAAATGACAAGTAACGTTCGTCAGCATGACTCGCTTGACCCTCGATTGAATGATTATATGTTATCCGGCTTAGTTGGGTGTGGGTGTGGGTAAGAAAGCCTTTACACTGATATTGACACCAAAATCCACACCCACTTCCAAGCCCACACCCAAGTCAATGATGCTCGCCCGTAAACGGTCGTTCACAAACCAAATACGGCGAATAACGCCGACTGTTTACGTTAGCTATTTACAGCAGCAGTAAACGATGCTTTACAGCATATTACGGTAATCGTACACAGTGCCCTTAAAAGTCCATCATAAACTACTACCGTAACGATACGGTGACTGTATACTTTGGTCGGAAAACAGCGTAAAGCATCGTATATGTCAGCCGTTTGCGGTGGTCGTTTACAACAGTTGTACCTGATGCTTTACGGCATATTACGGCCGCTGTAAACATTGATCGTAAAGTATCGCCGGGAACGACTGGCGTGGCAACACGATGACTGTATACGCCGGTATTATAAAATGTCGTAAGACACAGTATATGTTAGCAGTATACGGCAATCCCTTATGACGATCGTAAACGATGTTTTACGGCATACTACGCCGATTGTAAACATTGACCGTAAAATATCATCGGGTACAGTTACCGTGGCAACACGGCGACTGTATACGTTGATATTATGAAACATCGTAAGACACCGTATGAGTTAGCTGTATACGGTAATCCTTTACGGCGATCGTAAACGATGTTTTACGACGCTTTCCGGCCGTTGTAAACAATTGCCATAAAAAGTCACCGTGTACGATATCAGTAACAATATGCCGATTGCATACGTTCATCCTATAATACCGCAACGCATCGTCCGTGCCCACTGTAACTAGTCTCATATACAATCGGTATTTGTTAGTCCATTTCATCGCAAAAGATCGTTAACATTGGCTAATTTCTATTATTGAATACACACAACATACTCTTACGATGAAGCATATTAGTCGACAGCTAACAAAAGTTCCGTTTCCACAAAGTCCAGAAAGAGTCTCGGGCTTTGACTTCTCATATGACCAATACTTTTATAAAATTCAAGGTTTTTACAACCACCATATCCTTGCCAATTTGGTGTAAAACCTATTGCGTCTTGGTAAGATGTATGAACCTCAGAAACGATATCACAACATAGCAACAGTCAAGCTACATACTTTCATAGTTTATCAGTGTAAAAAAAGGCTAAAACTTAGACTGAAATTGAGAATCAAGTACGTGTCACAAGTACGGACAATAGATTTTTGAGAACTATTATTTGATCAGAAAAGAGTCTTTTTTTAGTCTTTTTCAGTCTCACCCCTTACTATATACAGGACAGCACAACGTGTTCGTGGTCATTTCAATTGAGATTCAAGTATGAGTAACCAGTATGAACAATGGATTTTCGAAAAGCATTATTTGATCACAAAAGAGTCTTTTTTAGTCTTTATGGATCTCACCCCCTACTATATAAAGGGCTGCACCACGTGCTCGTGGTCATGTCAATTGAGATTCAGGTATGAGTAACAAGTATAAACAATGGATTTTTGAGAAGTATTATTTCATCAAAAAAGAGTCTTTTTTAGTGTCACTCTCTACTATATAAAGGACTGCACCACGTGCTCGTGGTCATTTCAATTGAGATTCAGGTATGAGTACCAAGTATGAACAATCGATTGTTTAGCGGATGATTTGATGGAAAGAGAGTCTTTTTTAGTCTTTTTGAGTGTCACGCCTACTATATAAGGGGCTGCAACAGGTGCTCGTGGTGATTTCAGTTGAGAGTTACGTATGAGTGACGGGAAAGTTGCAACTCGTCACGATTTTTCTTGTCTGGCTTTCGTAACGAATTGACAGTACGAAAGCCCGTAACAGAGGTTTCGTAACGACAGAATCAGGGCTTTCGTAACAAAAAATCAGAGCTATCGTAACGAATTTTACAGGGTGATCGTAACCGGTGGTTTGATGTGTGACTTCGTTACGATACCCCTAATTTTTGTTACGAAATCCCTGTTGGCTCGTTGCGAAAACTCTGCAACTGTTACGAACTCCCTGTAAATAACAGCTACGATTGCCCTGTAAATTTTGTTACGATATCCCTGTTTTCTCGTATATCCCTATTTTTAGCGTTACGAAAGCCCTGTTTTTTCTGAAAAATTCAACTCGTCACGTGACGAGTTGCAACCTTCTCTGAGTGACCAGTATGAAGAATGGATATTGAGAAGTAGTATTTGATCAAAATAGTCTTTTTTAGCGTTTTGAGTCTCACCGGTACTATATAAGAAGCTGCAGCACGGGTTAGTGGTCATTTGCATATAGTATGAACAATCGAATGTTTAGCGGATGATTGGATGGAAAAAGAGTGTTTTTCCGTCTTGTTGAGTCCCGCTCCGTTTTTTATACAGACACGCACGCCGAGGTATGTGCTGTTGAGGTGTACAAAGAACAACGAACAAGAACGATTAGTAACCGATTGCGGTTATTGAAGTGTAGTCGTTTGAATAGCTTTTCTGATGAGGTCCCTATATGGTCTCTGAAGAAGGATCCTGCGTTATTTTCGTATATATTTAAAGAAGTCTTCTAGCATACAACCGATTTAAAAGGAAACCGCAAGGCCAGAGCGTTTTGTTTTTAACGCAAGCGTTCAATTAGAGAATATCCCCAAACCGAAGCATTCACTAGAATGCAATCCTGCCTTTGAATGACAAAATCATTAATGGCCTTTTTACATCTGCTTTCATAGTTTTCCATCTGGCAGAAAGTTCTTGGAAAAAGTCTGTGGAACGTAGAAAACGACCTTTTTTCAAGCTTTTGCGCGCGAGCAAATCTCACAAGAAAAGTCTTCACAGCACTCAAACAGAATGTTTCGTACCTATTCGCAATCTTCAGAAAAACTCCAAAGAAGTCTCGCAAGGTGCCAGACTACTCCCCGTCGAGTCTTTTTTTCAACTGTTTCACACTATTATAAGGAGTCCTCTTCCGGCCGAAAACCCCTCAAAAACTTTTCGAAACTTCTTTTTCTCTGGGCCCTTAATGAGTCTCAAAAAGTCTCAGAAAGTCTCAATAAGCCTCAAAAAGTCTCAGAACCGTGAATTCACGGCCGAATACGGCAGTGCACGACTGCCGTATTACGCCGTATACAACACGGCGGAATACGGTCTTAATACGGTACATGGAAATACGGCGGATTTACGGCCGTTTACGGTCGTAAAATCGTCGTATACGGCCGTTAACGCCACCGTAAATGGCCGTATACGGCTGTTTCTGGTCGCCGTAATGCTCGTTCTGGGTACTGTATACGGCCACCGTATACGGCGATCTACGGTCGTATACGGCATTGTTACGGTAGTGAAGGGTTCCGTATACGGCCTTATCAATCGTCCTTGGGGCCGTGTCCAGTTATGAATACGGCCGTACACGGCCGCCATATTACGCCGTATACGACACAGCGAAATACGGTCGTAATACGGTACATGGAAATACGGCGCAGTTACGGCCGTATACGGCCGTTTCTGGTCACCATAATGCTCGACCTGGGCACCCACACTCACATTTCACAGCCGCACTCACACTCCACACTCACACCCTCACTCCTTAACAACTGTTACTCCTTATTCAAACAAATTGGATCTAGACTGTTGATGTTTATTAGACGAGTCTCAACAATCAAAAGTCTTTCTGCAAGGGACTTTCTAGTGCAGCGGCTAGTCGTTCGTCGGCGCCACTAACGGCTAGCCGCTGCTAATTTTTATTGTTTCTTCACAACATGATTCCTCATTATTTACA